AGAACGGAAAACAAAGAGATTTCGAGCTCTTACCTTATCCAGACAGTTCACTTTTTCCGTGGGGTAAACGACTTGATTACATCTGCCACACAACGGATTCATGTTGGAGGAAACGCTCTTCTAGCTAGTTAGCAGACAACCCGGCGACGATACGGGCCAAAAGTCGCAGCGTGCTGTCGAGTGTTGGCTGTAAAACACCAGCTACAGTGGACAGTTGTGATCAGCGGCAGACCAAAACCAGAATCCAGTTATATGTAGCAGAGGATTGTTGTTGTAGTCGCACAGCTGGCTGTCAGTCCACTAATCAGACACGGAAAGCGCGCCCCCGACGCCCTCCTTCCTTACAATGCGCGTGTCCGCGCAGAGAGGAAGAGGGGGTTGTACAATTAGTTAAAATGTCAATTGAATGAATAATTACTCATCACAAGACTCAGTGGGAGATTATATAATTTGAATATGTCCACCAAATACTGAAACAGCTGTTTTAAAGGGGTGCGAATCAGCATTCAGAGATATCTCATCGAGCCCTGTGGACCTCCTGTCTGTCCTATCCAAGCTCCATCTGTTCTTGCATAGCGAACCCATGCAGTCACATTGCAGATTTTGGGGCTCCACCAATTCAGTGCTCCTAAATCACATTTTACACATCTGCCACGTTCACTTCATGTCCTACTTCATGTCCAGGTGAAACGATTGTGTAGGGCGACACCTGCTGGCAAACGGTATAACAAACCTTTTCATCACTGACGTTTCATTTATCCATCCGTTTTCTGTACCTTGGACAGTCACAATCACACGGTCAACACAGAAAAAAACAAATACACCTAAGGACAATTTAGGGCTAAGGACTTGGAGACCCCACGATGCAGCTCAATGCTGCAGTTCTCTGACAGTGAGCTTTGGATATACTATTTTACCATCCTGTTCACATGGTTGCAAGATAAAGTTGTAGAGATTTGCAACAGTTTGAGTTGTTTTAAACCCTTTAATTGTTGATCAGTTTTGTGAGTAGCTATCTTCTTGTAGCAAATACCTGACATATGAAGTTAATATGTTAACTCAGGTTCAGGAGCAGGGCCACGCCCAAACCACACCTCTAATTACCCCGCAGTCTACTTATAGCCAGTTCACCTATACCACACAGTATGTCACATTATTTCAACCCCAATCACCCACCCTCTCTGACCCTTAACCCCTTCTCACCTTCTCCGTCTTCCTTCCCCTCATCCCATCACCCTCATCTCTCTACCTCCCCTTCATCCCGTCACTCTCCTCCCTACTTCCTCATTACTTATTCTCTTCTTTTCATTGCAGGTCCCATCTGTGGGGTCCTAAGTAGGCTTGGGAAAAAGCAATTTTCCTGAAGACTGCACCCCCACGCTGAGTCTCTTCCGCTCCAGCCTTCTGGCAGTCTCCCCAGATGACCTAATCCTCACCTGCAGTTTATCCATCCCCTCGACCCCTTCCTTCAAGTAAACCTTTAATTTCATATCTTTGTGGCATGGTCCTTGCTAGTGAAATGAAAGTTAACACGCTGCTTTCTTGGTTTGTTCTCGTATTTTTTTCTATTTTGAAGAGTTGCTAAAAGAAACAGACCTCCGTCACATCATATTTATATCTCAGAGACACAGGAAGTCACAATCTATTAATTGAAAGTTTCTAGACAACTTAAACAAGTGAATTAAAAATAAAATAATCACATGTAACACTTCTAATAGGAAAATATCAGACAGCAAAACAGGACAGAATTTACAGTAGTTAAAAAAACACACCAACAAAACCAGACCTCAACAAATGCACACCACACTTACCAGACCTTTATTTGTAAAAAAATAAAAATAAAAAAATGAAAACCATGTATCACTTTTCTTCCACTTCACAGTTATGGGCAACATTGTGTCAGTCTATGACAAAATATCTGCACCAAAGTTCGTGGTTGTAAATAATGTGGAGAAATTGTATGCGGACACTATGCTGTACTACAGTATTCAGAAATTCTTGCACCAAACAGACCACTCAATTAAAAGCACAAGACACTAAAACTTCACTTTTCCCAGTTCTTTATTGGATCGGTGAAAGAGGAGCACACTTAAATTTATAAGACTGCTGGCATAGGTATACATATTTTCGGGCAGTACCTTTTATTTGAAACTGATCAGTGTGCAAATGTTGGCTAATTGTTACTAAATGTCGTATAAAACTCAGCAACACTGTTCCAAAATATCATAAATGTTTTTCGGTTGTGGAAACTAACATATCACAGTGTTTCATAGTAAAACTTTATTGTAAAAAGTATCTGTGTGCACAGATTTTAGGCATGAGAGCACTTTTTTTCTGATTTCAGCATGGTCCAGCTTCAACAATGCTGTATTTTTCATGACCTTCTCCCTCCACCTCTGTGTATCCTGGTAGCTGCTGTTGGAACTTCATGGATGGCCAGTAGCTTTTGCGTCTCTGTAGGACATTCATTGATAGAAAACATGATACAACAAGTACAACATGTATGCCAGAGTTTGTTTAAATCATATCCTTGGTGCAGGCAGTGTACCTGGATGAGGCAAAGCGGTGATGAGCCGGTGGGATAGCAGTGGATGCAAACGGCAACAAGTATCAAAGCCAAGAGTAAAAATAGAGCAGTTGCAATACCAGCTATGATGCCAGTGTGAGATAATCCTTTACTCTTGGTTGAAGACTCTGTTTTCACATCTGCAGCCAAGATTAACATACCTTTTTTTAAATCCAAAATGACAGTTAGTAGATAATAACATTTATTTGTGACTCACCGCTGCCCGACATGAAAATCTGATCATCTGGAAGAAATGAGTGGGTTTAGCTCTTCAGTTCTGCTCCGCAATTGTTAAATAATTATGATTACCAAAAATCAAATTCTGCATAAGATATGGGAAAGATTACCACTTTTACAGCCTCTTTGTTCTGGAGTCAAAGGTGTCATGTGCTCTGTCTCTGGTGCAACAGAGGAACCCGTGAAACCGTCCTCTCTGAAGTAATCATCACAAGTTGCGTCTTTGCTCTGTCCACACACAGCACAATAAAGTTGTGCGATACTTCAAAACACAGTGAAACCAACGTAAACATCTGATCCGGATATACCTCCTCCGAACAGGAATAATCCAGCCATTCTTGCCTGTGTCGGTCCATGCCATCCGAGCACCTGAAACACAACATTTGTATAGAGCAAAGGGGATATTTTATCAGAGTTGTAGTTTGGGCCTGAAGAATGAGCTGCTCACCTCTGGAGAACGTTACACCAACTGCAACCAGAGGTTCGGTTGGAGGAGAGGCAGTGTTCACAGCTGTCATGCTGGAGGCAGGCTGAAAAGGGAAGACAAACACATAGACAACAAATAGATATTTCATTGTTTTAAAGCTGATATTAAGATACTGAACAGCGTTGAAAAGTGAGAGATTTCACTGACTGGGTAGTGGTGTGAGCTCTACAGCAGATAAGTTGGTTATCTTTGTCATGCTGATCTCAACTCGATGGTACTCATAGATTGTTTGCTGAGCTCCATCTGAAGGAGAGAAATAAGTATAGTGGCAGTTAATTACAGTGCTCTTCACATTTATTGACAACCCTTGTAAATATTTGTAAAACTCCTCAAAATACACTACCAGTCTAAGGTTTCTACAGTTACTTATTCAGTTGAATGAGAAAGTATGTCCAAACTGTTGACTGGTAGTGTAGATCCACAAAACATAGAAGAAAACCAAATTTTCTTTAATTTGAGAACAGTTGTTTAGTATGAAAAAAGGAAAATACATCCAACAGGCATAATATTATGACCACTGACAGGTGAATAAGAACTGAGTATGTCTTCATCATGACAAAGGCCTAATTTTGATGTCTAGATGGCTGGGTCAGCGCATCTCCAAGCTTCAGTTATATTAATGTCATAGGAGCTACTAGGAATGCCAAAAAATCCCACTGATTATTTCAATTAGAGATCATGGTACTGTAACAAAAGCATAATTTGTCATTTTTTTACACATCCTAACCAGGAGTGCCAATAATTGTGGAGGGTGCTGCATTTATAATAAACAATTGTTATTGACCTGGTGATTGAGAAGTGGGTGACATGACCAAAAAGGCATCTGACAAGCCGGCCTTAACTGGATGTTCGGCTGATCCGATCTCGTCTAGTGACAAAGGGATCTGTTGAGCAGACAACGGGATATCAAGGCTGGGTATAAAGGTACGGTGGAGAATAATGAAATTAGATTTTTAAGAGCAGAGATGACAGATGTGCCTCACGTCTCTGTAGCTGAATGTGATTCTTCCTGTCTTATAAAGAGCAGCCTGAAACGTAAAGGCTCCCTCCGACTCTTTGCCTGGAAGTCTGACGCGCTCCCACTGGACCACAAACACTTCTCCTACAAAAAAATGGTTAGTCTTAAACATCTGGGCGAAATCTAGGTGTTAACATGTGAGATGATGTTTTACCATTATCCAGGTACTGAACGGTGGAGTCTTTAGAGTGGCTGGGGTCAAAATTAGCCATCAGAGGGGCAATGTACTGTGTGGTGGTCAGCATACGGTGAGTAACATCCCCGGTGAAGATGAATCCTGACAAAAGACCAGATGGAAGAATATGTAAATCTTGAGTATGACTTGTTCAAATGTAAAGAGGCCCTCTCTGAGCATATGCAGGAGAGGAGGAAAGGTTACTTGAGCATCTGTTAGGTTACTGAAGTTGTACCTCCTGTTGCAATGGTAATCTGCTTCAGGTAATGTCCGTAAAAAGGAAAGTCAAAAGACAGGGCAACTCTCTGCAAACAGATGAGACATAAAAAGATACATTGAGAAGGACAAAAAAAACAGTCAGAGAAATGGTATTTTAGAGGAAAATAGTATAAGAAACATATTGAAGAACTGTTCTCAAGTAAAAAAATAGGCAAAAATGACAAATCTAGTGTAAAAGCATATGGCATAACAGTGGGTCCACTAACTAGAAGACGTACAGGTAGGACCTTTCTATATATGGGATAGAGGTCAGTGGTAGAGCCTTTGATTGCAGATCAAGAGGTCCCCAGTTCAAATCTGGGTGTTCCCTACAACATTTAAATATATTGGTAAGTTCCCAATGGAGCAGTTTCAGTAACAAACATGCCGAATTATCTGTTTTGGTATGCCTCTTCCTTCAAGAGACAGACTATAGTTCACACAAGCACAGCTTGACATGCTTTAAGCCCACAAAAATGCCAAAGGGACACATGTTGGGCTATTTGGCTTAAAACAAAATGAAAAACTATAAAAGCCAGACAGTATATTGCAATTTACATATGTACAGCCAAAGATAGACAAATATATATCTACAATGTTGTCTCTACAATAAATGTCCATAGTCCTCATTGTATTGTATGCCAGCAGAACACGCAGCGCATGGGGGTATAGCTCAGTGGTAGAGCATTTGACTGCAGATCAAGAGGTCCCCAGTTCAATTCTGGGTGCCCCCTACAACATATAAATATGTTACTAAGTTCCTAATAGAGCACTTTCAGTAACAAACATGCTGAATTATCTGTCTCTGTAGGTCCTCTGCCTTGAAGAGACAGACTACTTGTTGTTTCACTTGAAGGGTTTTATAAACTGGACCCAGCAGTGGTTCACATCAAATTCACCTGTATGTGAAAAAGTTGAATTTTTACCCAATCCGATGCCTGACAAATGAAAAAGATGGATTAAATGCAATCATAGTCAGTTAAAAAATGCAATTTAATGGGAGTTATTGGAAGAAAAATGCCAAAGGGACACATGTTGGGCTATTTGGTTTAAAACCAAATGAAAAACTATAAAAAACAGGCAAATCCCCTGCAATTTACATATGTACAGCCAAAGTTAGGCAAATATATATATTTAAGGACCAAGGAGGGTTAAAGCATGGACTGCTGAAAGCATGTTTCAGTTTTCTGTAAGGACAACAATTCCTGAGTTTGTTTTTCACATAATGTCTTCATTTTCTTTGAAAACTAAAGTAAATGAGATAAATAATCAAATGTTCATGTCTTAAAAATGAACAAATTTAGCAATGAAAGACTCAGTGATGGAGGCAGGATGCCGTCAGAGGAGTTTCAGTGTCTTCTATGTTTTTGGTCACTAAGTCACAAATAATTATTGTTTTTCTGAATCTGGCTCCCCTGCACGGCCTTGATGGCTGGCTATCTTCAACCTCTCCTGGAAGTTATGTAAACATGACGCTCTGCCCCCTCCCTTCCCTGAGGACATCTGTGG